CAGCTATGAAAGTATGGCATCTTAAATCTGCTCTTAGCCTTATTGCAGTGCTATGCCATGATTAAGTCATTTGAGAATGCTGGTGTGGCTAATTTTGTAATGTTAAGTCATGTTTTGTACAACAATACATTTTGTCATTGAACACAGCATTATATGCTATCGCTAATTAACGTTAGCTAAATACAGCTATGTTTATCATTTAGCCAAACCAAACACGCCCTACCGAAGTGCGCAGAGCTCACGCACATGTTACACAAACATGCAATCAAGTTAGCAAACATATGACATAATGTTACTTACTTCTGTTCGCGGGAGTCACGGGTAACAATGGGATGCCTCCGCTTCAGATGCTCCCACATGGACGTTGTGCTGGTGTGATAAGCCAATTCCGTGGTGCAAAGACAGCAAATAACGGCACTTTTACGTTTTGTGCTCCGTTTAAAATATTCCCACACCTTTGAGGTAGGGCGCCGGGGTACCTGAGACATTGCTGCTGAGTCTGAGTCTATCAGATGAACGGAGTTTTGTTCTCCGCGCTGCTCTGTTTTGGTCACGTGGTGCGTCGACTTCCGGATTTGACATCGACGGTTTTTTAGAATCGAATCCTCAACGTCATCGAAGCGTCGCTACAGGCCTAGATCGCAGTAACGTTTGTTTCTCCGACAGTCGGAGTCCGACTGAACTTAAAAACAACAAAATTCAGGAGGTTAAACTTTTAAATGCAAATTTGGCTGCAGCATCTAACAAATAAGAATAAAGTCCCCATTTTGTTTAGTTGTTTAAAATCAAGCATAAAAAATTACATGTACCGGGCGCGCGCGCGCCGGGGGGCGGGCGCACTATCATTTCACTTTCACACACACGAATGATGGTGATTTATAGCTCGGTCACGTCCTTGTTACCTACAAGGAAAACCAGCATGTTAACCATATACGGGTTGAGAGAGGATCTGAGAGGGGTGGCAACATTTCCAGCAACACTGAAAACCCTCTCGGATGGTGCGCTCGTTACACGTACTTGCGCACGACTGGCGAGCAAAGGGAATCTCTCCCGCTTGTTGCTCCACCATGTCAGGGGGGTTTCTTTAGGGTGGATGCATTCCTCCTGCAGGTAGCGAGTGAGCTCCAGCTCGGCTCAAACTCTCTTCGGGACGGTTGCAGAAGCAGTGCTTGTCCGGGACTTCAGCAGGTCTCCGAGCGTTTATTATTATTTTTTTGCCGCTGGTGGCAGCTCTGTCTCGGCCAAGGACTCTGGCTGCGCAGCAGCTGACGTACTGAAAACCAAAGTGCTCCCACAGGAGCGAAGTAACGTTTCGTTTTGATACCAGTGCAGCCATCCTTCTCAACATGCATCACTGAGTTGAACCAAGTTCAGTAATCGCGGTGGCCCATGATGCAGCGCGGTGGGCTTCTTCATATTGTGATATTTCATTTTTGCGGTTACCGTGACAGCCCTAAGATCAACCCAGCATCCCCCAGTCTGTTTACTATGTTTCATGTTGTTTTATTATGTGTTTATTGCATTTTTCGTGAAGCCTGACTGACCTAAACAGCCCTAGACAAGTTTAATGTATTATTATTATTATTATTATTATCATTATCACTTACAACCGCAGAAGGCAAAGTGTGTCCCCACTCCCTGTTCAGCCATTTTCCTGCACCAGATCTGGCGTTTACAGATGTTTCACACCTGTGTGAATAACACAGCTGTCTAAGAGAAAAACCACTTCTCCAACTCATTTACTTATTTACATATCTGAAAGGTGGCAGCCCTACCTGTGTCCATGCTGGCCAGGTCCAGGTGGTGAAGAACACACGATGAATCAGTCCCAGCTGATGGATGATCCTGAAGTGGTAGCAGGTTTTCTTTAGCCGTGTTTAGCTAACAGTTGCAATAGAAACAAAGCAGGAGAGCTGATTAAGATGCTGCTTCAGAACAACGCAGGAGATTAAAGATCCAACGCTTTGGTTCTGATCAGCTGAGGACAGATCCAGTCTGGAAAAGAGGACCTTTGCTCACCAGAGTTCTCTTCTGTTCTTCCAGCTACAGACTAAATAGAAGATGGATGCTCTACAAAAATACTAACAACGGTTTCTCCTGTTTAGTTCTGTCTGGTGGCTCACTAAAAGTCAAATCCAGCATGGCAGCATCTCATGGAGCCAACAAGGAAAGCAAGGTGTGATATCAGCAGAGCGCTGGAAGCTGAAAAGGTAAAGAACAACACAACCTGAGGGTTCCTCGTCTCCAGCTGAGCCAAGAGCACTAAAGGGTTTTGTTTAGAGTTTACATGAAGAAGTAGTGAGTTTATTTATTTATTTATTCTTTATTTAACCAGGAAGGTCCCATTGAGATCACAAACCTTACTTTCAAGGGAGTCCTGGCCAAGAGGCAGCTCCACGGACGTGTAATGTACATGAAAACACAGGAATCCCAGCTAAATGAACTTTAGGTGTGTTTTAGCAGAATGCTATTGTGTTTTCAGTATTATTATTGATTACTAAGTCATTATATTATACATTTACTCAGTAGAATGTGTCTTTCTAAAGTTGTATTTATTTTTATTTACATGTAAATATGCATCCTGAAAAACATCTGCTTAACGAATGCTCTGAAACATCAGCTGGCATTTCTTTTTAGCCTGTTTTGTCTATTTAATACTTGCTACTTGGTTCATTTTCATGCTGAATGCTGTTGAGTAAACTTCTGTCTGTAGCAAGGAGCTGCTAAGTGTGTGTGTGTGTGTGTGTGTGTGTGTGTGTGTGTGTGTGTGTGTGTGTGTGTGTGTGTGTGTGTGTGTGTGTGCGCACGCGCACCTGTTCTATGGATCTCTTTATTAAAACTATTTAACGGTAATAACGTTTTGTTGATTTTAAACAGGGGAAACCCCACTCGCGATTTAGCGATAGCATGATGCTAACTCCATTAGGCCGCTAGCGTGCTTTCCCTCACAAAGAAACGGTGTCCACTCACCAAGTGAACTGCTCCACTCACTAAAGACGGTAAATGTTCCAGATCCAACTACGTTACTGACTGTACTACCGACTACTGACTACCAAAACTCACCAAGTCCACCGAGTTATCTCAGAACAGCACAGCTTCTAGGTCGTGTCTCGGCAACTACAGTTGGCTACAGCTTAGCTTAGTTGTAGCACGGGGCGGGCAGTGGGCACAACAATACCATATATGGAAACGGTGCCATTGCTTTCCGGAACTGAAGGAGGCGCTAATGTCGAGCTACCGTTTTGGAAAAATCTTATTCAAACTGTTCATGAAACAATATATAATTCTAGGTAAACTGTCGTAATTTCTATATTTCTGATTCATAAATATTTACTGTTTATTACAATATTTTTTGAACGTCGTTGTACTAAACATGACACAGTCAACAATCATTTAAAACTACAATTTTCAATAATCTTCATCATAGAATGACTGATTCTTCACACTTTTCACATCACTTTAATTTTTTTAAATTAGTGTGGTATTTTTTAATCGCCAATGTCATTCGAAATCTCATGAGGATGATTTTTACAAATGGCCTAGTTTTATACTATTTGTAGGAAACTGTAACCATTTGAGTTTGATGAGACTATTCATAGTATTTAAAACTGATATTTAAACCTAATTCCTCCAAAGACCTAACATACGCTCTCCTAAGTGTCACCTGTGTCTCCAAATGAAATGAGTTGTCCTGATTTAATTTTTTTGTTATGTTATCATGTAACCTAATGAAAAAATTGGGTAAATGCGTGGAGAAAACTTTCCATTTTAGCAAAAAGAATAACTTCCAAAAGGACGGCTCTGTTGAACAGCTGCTGAGACTGACTTTTATGGATTTTAGTTTCATATCAATATAATTTCTAAAAACATGTGAAACTCCCAAAATTAGAATGTTGCACATTAATTTATTCTAGTAAAAGCAAAACCAATTGCAAAGTACTTATGTCTGACAATTTTCTATTTAAAAGCAGTGTTGGATGTTTTAAATGTAATATTCTAATTGTCTGAATTTTTGAATGCAGGATTTTCATCATCTGTAAGCCATAATTATTACAATTATAACAAATAAAGGCTGAAATATCTGGCTTTGTATGGAATGAGTCTTATTACTGAAATAAATCAACTTTTTCACAATATTCTCATGTTTTGAGTTTTACCTGTAATTTGATTTTTTATTAAGTGCATTTGAGTCATTTTTATATAAACTGCAACCAATTTTTCAAGAAACTTTATTCTCAAACAGAGGAACAACAGGATATTGTTTCAAAAAATCAAAACAGCAGCAGTTCTTTTCAACATTACAAAAAAACACATTTGAGTGCACTTGAGTTTGCAGAAATATGAGAACACAATTAGAATATTTTAGTTATTTTTGGACAAATGTGTCAACGTTTAATTTAAATTTAATAAATATGAACTTTACTTTTTACACAACTAATAATTAAAAGCATGAACTAACTTGCAGTGCATTCCTCAACACAAGGCAAAAATGTATTGACAGTAGCAAATGAGCATCACAGTTGTGGACGCCATCTTGCCAGTCTTGATCGCTACACCATGTCACAGTTGGGGCAAACTTTCCTGTATGTCGATGTACCTAAAAGGATAAAAAAAAAACATGTTACAATTACATCCTAGAGCTGGAATGAATTGCAAACCTTTAACTACACCATTATGAGTCACTATTTTAGCAGTTGCAGTTATCAGCTGAGGACCAACAAGAGTGTTCTGTCTACATTGTGTGCATGTAGTCTCAGATAGAATGAGATGTGTGGGGAATCCATGAGAGTCTTGGCGTCTCTGCTGCTGGTGATCAGTGTTTTGGAAGATCGGAAGGTATTTTCTTGTGAGCAATCAAATACTTGATCATCCTTTCAGCTGCTGGATCTGGATAAAACGCTTATATTGGGTGAAATCTGCCTAGCCCTCCATCTCCTCGCATTGTTTTATTTTGAAACGTATTTTATTTTGAAAAGAGAAAGTGGGATTCTCCCCATTCAACTCTTATTTTCCTGTTGAACCACGAGTTGTTTTGAACGGTTCAACTTTGGAAGCCATCGAGACACGACCTAGAAGCTGTGCTGTTCTGAGATAACTCGGTGGACTTGGTGAGTTTTGGTAGTCAGTAGTCGGTAGTACAGTCAGTAACGTAGTTGGGTCTGGATCATTTACCGTCTTTAGTGAGTGGAGAAGTTCACTTGGTGAGTGGACACCGTTTCTTTGTGAGGGAAAGCACGCTAGCGGCCTAATGGAGTTAGCATCATGCTATCGCTAAATCGCGAGTGGGGTTTTCCCTGTTTAAAATCAACAAACTATTTTATTACCGTTAAATAGTTTTAATAAAGAGATCCCTAGAACGCGCACGCACGCACGCACACACGCACACACACACACACACACACAACAGCAGCTCCTTGCTACAGACAGAAGTTTACTCAACAGCATTCAGCATGAAAATGAACCAAGTAGCAAGTATTAAATAGACAAAACAGGCTAAAAAGAAATGCCAGCTGATGTTTCAGAGCATTCGTTAAGCAGATGTTTTTCAGGGATGCATATTTACATGCAGGGCCGTTGCTAGCTCTTTTGGTGCCCTAAGCACAAAGGCATCGTGGTCCCCCCCCCCCCCCCCCAGCAGAAAAAACAACACAATAACACAGTATGTGCAAGCTCTTCGCCTTAAATTCTCTTTAATTCTCTTGTATGCACAAACTGCTTATTATTTCCAAAAAGTAGGATTGATATTTACAAAATATAACATACACAACACGGGAACTCCATATTGTTATTATTTAGAACTATGTAACAGGTCCACACACCACAAGCACCGGTTGTGGCACATGTGTTTCTCCAGTGTTATTTTCAGATGCTTTTTCAGACCCAGGACTCACTCTGCCTTCAGAAGTGCTGGTTGTGGGCTGTGCTCGGTCTGTAGGTGTGCTTTACTTTGTTATTCCTGGTCAGGGCTGGGTGATGTTGTAGAAGGTTCAGACGTGATGGCTGACAACTGATCTTGAGCTCTTGAACTGCTGGTGGAGGGCTGATCTGAACTTTTGGCGTGAGCTCCTCCTTGAATGTACTTGTTCCTTGAGCCTGGCTGCATTCAGACACAAAACGATAATTTGTCATATTCATTCTATAATAAGATAAAAGTTTTAAACCATGGTAAAAATACTGCAATAGATTATTTATAGGTTAATTTTGGCTTATAAATCACTGGCATGTGACATGACTAAACTCAAAACTATTTAACCTTTATTAAGAACTAGAGAGGCACAATATACACATTTTATACACAACTAGAAAATTCTGAATATGAAGGGAGGAGGTTAGCATAATGGACTTTTTTCTTCAAATTATACCATCAGCAGCTGATGTTCCTCTTGGCCCGTAAATGTTTATGAAATATAAATCAACATAGAGCAAATACCTAATTTGAAAATAGGGTTGTCTAAATTTTCATGTTAAATCTCAGTTACATAGCCTATAGGCTACATAGGATATTTAATAATAATATAAATCATGTCCATAATTAACTCATGATTAATCACAAACAGCCGCTTATTTAAAAATAAAATTTCTTACTTTACCTTGACGGTGTTTTTGTCCTTCCTGTTTTTGTGATATTTAAGTTTTGCAGGGGTGGACATTAACTTCAAAACCAACCGGCCAGCCGGACCGGTAACTCTGAATATTTACCGGCCCCGCCAAGAATCTACCGGCCCCGCTGGTCAGCTGCCAAAACGAGTCAAAATAACAACTTAACCGTTTTAAATGTAATAAACCTTCATTTTGTACACATTCACAAACATAATAACGTATTCAAGTTTGAATTTGTTTGTTCCCTCAACAAAACTCGATTTTGTCGTCGCATACTTCCGGCATACAACGCAGTACATCACCAACTCCGCTTTGCTGTATTCGAGCCATTGACTGTGTTCGAGATGAGCCAGTTCTGTGCAGATTAGACCAGCGGTGATCGGCGAGCAGTGCATGCCGGTTAGATTTGTGTCCGAATTGACGCCGACTTGCTCTGACGTCATGCATACGTAGGCAACGATAACCTCGTGAGATCAAGGCGGCCGCAGATTTTGGAGCAAGGCGCTGCAGTTGCTCTCCCTCGGCTGCAAAACCTAGAGGATGACGGGAAACGCCTGGCTCTCACCTGATCTAAGATCTGATTGGTTCATATTTTGATCCAAACATCCGGTGGTAGAACATGAAATGTTAGTTGGTCACATGTATTCTGTAAATCATGTTATGTTTATGATGACAACTATATAGGCCATAAAGAGAAATGTGTTTTGTTTTCTTTTGTCACGTTTCCTATGAGCACACTGAAGCTGCAGCTGCTAACCTTTACTTATTATTACAGTCATGTTTTCATATACAATATATGATATCCACAAGCACGTGAGGATGTGTTTCAGCTGCTAACAGGCACCAGAATTAAAATTGAAAATTGAACAAGTGTGAATGCTAACACGATATCTTCAGCCATCGTCACCCACGAGCTACACATGCAGGAAAATCCAAGAGATTCAACTGGCAGAAACAACTGGTTCACACCATAGTCTCTCTCTCTCTCTCTCTCTCTCTCTCTCTCTCTCTCTCTCTCTCTCTCTCTCTCTCTTCCTCTCTCTCTCACTCCTCACTCTCACTCTCTCTCTCACACACACACACACACACACACACACACACACGTAGAGGAAAAGAGCTGAGGGAATTGAGGACACCGGGTAGTTAAAAGAAAAACCACAGCGGAGCCGAGGCGCTCCTCGAATAGGGCGCGTCTGATCTGAACTGAGGAGCGGCGAGCAGCGGCCGGACTTCGTGAGCGATTCGCTTCTCGGCGCTTCCGCGGCCGGTGTGTCCCCGGCGTAAATGCCGGCTTTCAGCCACTCCCCCTGCTGCTTCCGTCTGCTCTCGTCTGTTTTCCAGGCGAGGCGCTGCTCAACTCGAACACGGCCATTCTCTGCGCCTCCCGTCTTCTTTAAACCGCCAAGAATCATTCCACCTACGCACACGCTTCTCTACTTCATACCGTGTCGAACTGTCTCGCTTCTCCTCACCAGTTTTAAAGCGTTTTGCCGGAGATTTCATCAAGAAATCCCATCCCTGTGGCGGCGCGATCTTCCTGCGTGCTTGCGTGTTTCTAGCGTGGTTCCACTTCGTCTTTAATAGTGAACTTATAGTTCACGTGACTATAAATAATCGTGCAGTACGTGCACGAATCGTACAAGTGCAGTAGGTGGCTAGAGGCGCGCAGGTTCACGCGCGCGAAACGAAAACGGCAGCTTCCTACAGGGCGGGGCTATGATGTAGGTGAAAGCCGGTGTGTAAATGACAAATAAGGCTTGGGCGCCACCCGGGCGGTAAGTCGTCATGTATTTACCGCCCGACGAGAAAATTTAGCACCATTGGCGCTCGGGCGCTTTAACGGTCCACCCCTGATTTGGGTGGACAAATATGATTCATTTGTTTATTTCTGTTTCAAAACAGCACAGATGGGCCTATCTGACCTCACAGGGGAAACTTTACTTTACTTGAGAAAGATGTTTTAAGATGAACTTATTAAAACAAAATAATCTTCAAACTCTTCCAGGTGTATTTTTTAGATGAACAACCTTTAACACTGTTCAGACTTATTTGTTGATACAAGTCGCATGAACAGACTGATTTCCCTTTGTTGCATTTAACTATTTCTTCTTCTTTAAAGAAGTGCTGATTCAGAAGAGAATAACTGCATTTAGGAAGATGATGACTTGCTACGTTTTTTTCTCCAGCAGTAAAAAAGCTCTAAAGCTTCTCTTGAGTTTCTCTCCCTCTCAGCCTCTCTCACTCAGCTACTAACGAACGCCCGGTAGGCGGACGGGAGGCTGCGGGACAGAGTGGCGCATTATACTTTTAACAGACTGGAGAAGCAGAGAACGAAATCTGCCCAAACCACGCAGATAGAGTCAAAATGTTAAATGTACGGAAGCAGAGTGCGAAAAACACCAAATAAAAGTCCTGAAAAGCAGCATGCTTACCAAACTCGGTAAAATTTGACCAAAAACAGATTAATTAACAGCAGTAAAAAGTCCGAATTTAAGCTAGGTCAAACGACCCTCTGAACTTCACCACACCCGTGTTTAAAATTAGAAAAAGATAAAAAAAAAATTAAGAATTTCCATTAAAATACTTGTCTTATCTGCAATCGAAGCAACAGCATCATCCCGCTGTTTTTTCTTTTGTCTCTTTACTGTCCCAGACTCCTGCAGCCTTTTCGGAGCCATGACTGTGCCCGCTGCATCCTCCGCGCGGGGGTGGGGGGGTGCGGCACGGTCCATCTCCTTTCCTTTTTGTATTGCTTTCTCTCTGTAAACATGCTGTTAACTTGCTTTGCACATCTTCTAATTGAAATCTGTCTTTATCAAATACATATTATTTTTTCACAAGCTTGCATTTGGTGCCCCTCCCCTGGCGTGGTGCCCTACACGCTGTGCGTGGTGTGCGTGTGCGGAGCGCCGGCGCTGTTTACATGTAAATAAAAATAAATACAATTTTAGAAAGACACATTCTACTGAGTAAATGTATAATATAATGACTTAGTAATCAATAATAATACTGAAAACACAATAGCATTCTGCTAAAACACACCTAAAGTTCATTTAGCTGGGATTCCTGTGTTTTCATGTACATTACACGTCCGTGGAGCTGCCTCTTGGCCAGGACTCCCTTGAAAGTAAGGTTTGTGATCTCAATGGGACCTTCCTGGTTAAATAAAGAATAAATAAATAAATAAACTCACTACTTCATGTAAACTCTAAACGAAACCCTTTAGTGCTCTTGGCTCAGCTGGAGACGAGGAACCCTCAGGTTGTGTTGTTCTTTACCTTCTCAGCTTCCAGCCCTCTGCTGATATCACACCTTGCTTTCCTTGTTGGCTCCATGAGATGCTGCCATGCTGGATTTGACTTTTAGTGAGCCACCAGACAGAACTAAACAGGAGAAACCGTTGTTAGTATTTTTGTAGAGCATCCATCTTCAATTTACAGTAGCTGGAAGAACAGAAGAGAACTCTGTGAACTCTGGTGAGCAAAGGTCCTCTTTTCCAGACTGGATCTGTCCTCAGCTGATCAGAACCAAAGCGTTGGATCTTTAATCTCCTGCGTTGTTCTGAAGCAGCATCTTAATCAGCTCTCCTGCTTTGTTTCTATTGCAGCTGTTAGCTAAACACGGCTAAAGAAAACCTGCTACCACTTCAGGATCATCCATCAGCTGGGACTGATTCATCGTGTGTTCTTCACCACCTGGACCTGGACAGCATGGACACAGGTACTGGTGGATGAATGACTAGCTGTTTTTACAGGACCAGAGCGTTTCCAGAGCGGGATTTGCCGCGGCTCCCTGGGGAGGATTTTGGCATTTATAGTAGCAAAGCTGAAGCTAGAATAAACTGCCATCAGGCACCTCTCAAACCAAGACGGGATATAGGGAGGTCGCTGGGTGCCCCCCGCATGTGACGTACAGGGTCGCGCGATCAGCGTCAGATGGAAGACACGTCAGACTGATGAAATTTCTTTTTCAGAACCTTTAGCTTTGATGTGACCTGCTTTTTGTCCCGCTTGATGCCGCGCTCAGCCGGTGCTTTCACCACTGTCGAACAGCTGGCTGTCTCTCACCGTCCCCGTAAAAAGGCATAGCATAGCATAGTTTATTTATATAGCACATTTAAACGCAGCATGGGAGCTGCCCAAAGTGCTGCACAGGCTAAAACAAAACACAACCATTCGAAAGAACTAAAACAGAGGATAAAAATCCCAATCGAGCAGATAAAACATGATGAATACTAAGAACACATTAAAACAATGATACAATAAAACACTAAAACGAGTCACTGTCTAAAAGCCAAAGCGTAAAAGTGGGTCTTTAAACGAGATTTAAAAACCGCCAGAGATGGAGCCTGCCCAACTCCAGTAGGCAATGAGTTCCATAGCTTTGGGGCAGCATGGACGAATGCTCGTTCACCCCGCGATTTGCATCGCATCCGCGGCGTGCACAGCAGCAAAAGGTCAGCCGACCTCAACGTGCGCGTGGGCACATATGGAGTGAGCAGGTCAGAGAGATAGGGAGGTGCCAGGTCATTGAGAGCTTTAAACACAAAGGTCAGTAACTTAAACTGCACTCTGAAAATGACAGGGAGCCAGTGAACACGTGCCAGGACAGGGGTAATGTGCCAGGACAGGGGTAATATGGCTACTTCGGTGTGTACTCGTCAAGAACCTGGCAGCAGCGTTCTGGACGACCTGCAGCCGATTCAGGGCGGATACCGGAACGCCAACGAGGAGGGCGTTTGCGTGGTCCAAGCGAGAGGTAATGAATGCATGGATGACTGACTCCAAATGCCTCCGTTTCAGGATTCGTCTGAGGCGAGTAAGGCGGCGAAGCTGATAAAAGCAAGACCTCACTACGGAGTTTATCTGTGGGGCCATTGTGAGTCCAGCATCCAGCTCGATCCCGAGACTTGTCACATTCTGTTTAGGGTTGAGGGTCAAAAGGTCACAAACAGGGTGAGAGCCATGGTGGTTGCGGGGGTCAAGAACAATAAACTCAGACTTCTTTTCGTTTAACTTTAAGAAGTTGGATGCCAGCCAGCCCTTCACGTCCTCTAGACATGCAGCCAATTTCGAGCCCACATTCTTCTCATCCATTTCTACGTATAGTTGACAGTCATCAGCGTAAATGTGATAGCTCAGGCCATGCTGATTCAGGATATTGCCCAGAGGCAGAAGGTAGATAGAAAACAGCAATGGCCCAAGAACAGAACCTTGTGTCACCCCCCAAGGCAGTGGAAGACAGGAGGATGCACAGTCACCAATCTGTACAGAGATGGAACGGTTTGATAGGTAGGAGCGGAACCATTTATGCGCCACCCCCGTCACCCCAACCCAAGACCCAAGCCGATCCAGTAAAATATGGTGATCGACCGTATCAAAAGCCGCTGAAAGGTCTAGCTGGAGCAGCAGTACCCTAGACCCAGAGTCAGATGCCACCAGAATGTCATTTAGCACCCTAATCAAAGCAGACTCTGTGCTATGGTGTGGTCTAAAGGCTGACTGAAACACATCCAACAATGAGTTATTGTTCATATGAGCAGAGATCTGACCATGCACAATTTTCTCAAGGACCTTCGAGAGAAGGAGTTTAAGTATCTCGGTATCTTGTTCACGAGTGAGGGTAGGAGGGATCGGGAGATCGACAGGCGGATTGGTTCGGCGTCTGCAGTGATGCGGACGCTGAGCCGATCTGTCGTGGGGAAGAGGGAGCTGAGCCAGAAAGCCAGGCTCTCGATTTACCGGTCGATCTACGTCCCAATCCTCACCTATGGTCATGAGCTTTGGGTAATGACCGAAAGAACGAGATCGCGGATACAAGCGGCCGAAATGAGTTTCCTCCGTAGGGTGGCCGGGCTCAGCCTTAGAGATAGGGTGAGGAGCTCGGACATTCGGGAGGGACTCGGAGTAGAACCGCTGCTCCTCCGGATCGAAAGGAGCCAGTTGAGGTGGTTTGGGCATCTGGTCAGGATGCCTCCTGGACGCCTCCCCGGGGAGGTGTTTCGGGCATGTCCTGCCGGCAGAAGGCCCCCGGGTCGACCCAGGACACGTTGGAGAGGTTACATCTCCAATCTGGTCCGGGAACGCCTTGGGGTCCTGCCGGAGGAGCTGGTGGACAAGGCCGGGGAGAGGACGGCCTGGAGCTCCCTAGTTGGGATGCTGCCCCCGCGACCCGGACCCGGATAAGCGGAGGAAGACGACGACGACGACGACCTTCGAGAGAAACGGGACTTTCGATATAGGGTGGAAGTTCTCATAAGTGGAGAGATCCAAACCAGGTTTTTTCAATATCGGCTGAACACCCGCATCTTTAAAAAGCTTAGGGAACACTCCAGTGCTGAGGCTAATGTTAAAAATGTTCATGAGTGCCGGGCTCAGTGCAGACACTGAGTCACGCACCAATTTAGCCGGGAGGCAGTCCACCGAAGAGCCAGCTGGCTTCATGGAGCTAATCAGTTTCATCAAGTCAGCAAGCTGAACTGGAGCAAAGTCTGAGAAGGCAGGTGGGTCCGGCGGTTCCACATGGATAGTGTGTATTTGAGGCTGGAGGCTAAGCCTAATACCAAGGATCTTGTTAAGGAAAAAGCTCTGTAGCTCTGTGCATAAAGCAACAGTGGGATTTAGACCATCAGACTCATTTAACAGTAGCAGGGAGTTGATTGTGCTGTACAGCCTGGACTGGTCTCCATGATGCTGTGAAATGATAGCAGAAAAATAGTAATTACGAGCAGATCTAACTGCTCTCTGGTAGCGTGAAAGTGCATCAACCAGGAGCAGCCGAGAGCATGACAGTCTGTCTCTCTTCCACCTCCGTTCCAGCACCCTACACTGTCGCCTGAGGCTACGGGTGTAATCATTCAGCCAAGGGTCGGATGTTGTCTGTTTCCTCCTCGGTCTCAGAGGGGCAACAGCGTCCAGAGCAGCAGAGCAGGTCACACTGAACCGATGCAGAAGGCCATCTACATCCATGCAGGAAACTGACAAGGGTGGAGCGAGGGCATCAGTGTCCAAAACCGACAGAAAGTTGGAAGTCGTACTTGGAGATAAGCGCCTGGAGTAACGGGCAGACCGTCGCCGGGCTGGAGGAAGGAGACGTGAAATGCTGAACGTGATCACAGCATGGTCGGAAAACGCCACAGGATCCGCAGATAAATCATGCACATCCAGTCCAAAAGATAAAACCAAATCCAGGGTGTGAAGAGTCCGCATGTGAGGGAACATTTACCAATTGCTGTAGTCCAAATGAGTCTAAAACATTGATAAAATCCCTCACCAGTAGTTTCAGAGGGCAGCAGACGTGGATATTAAAATCACCCAAGATAATCCCCTGTTCATATTTTGGGAGCATATCAGCTAAAAGGTTGGAGAATTCATTTATAAAATCCTTATTGTATCTTGGTGGCCTGTAACACAGTAAAACGAGGATGGGAGGAGAGAAACCCAGCTCTAATACTGAGACTTCAAAACTGGTCAGAGCCATCAGCCCAGCAAGAGGTTTAAGTGGGAGATTTGAAAAGTACAGGGACAGTAACACCCCCCCCCCCCCCCCCCCCCCGCCCTGACCAGAGAGTCTCGGCTCATTAACAACGTTACAGTCAGGAGGACAGAGTTCGACCAAGGAAGCCGTCTCACCTGGCAGAGCCCACGTCTCCGTCATGCAGATCAGGCTCACAGCGTTATCCGTGTAAAAATCCTTTAGGAGAGCTGTCTTGTTCCCCAGCGAGCGGACGTTCAGCAGAGCAATCTAAAGCTACGGCAGGGAGCTGGATGGAAGCTAATTTGAGGTTCGCCAAAACCCCGACCTCACGGGATAGAGGAGATTCCCCGGATTTATTCCACCAGTGCGCGGTGCTTGCTGGGAGCTCCCGCGCGCACGGTCCAGCCTTTGGCGCTGCAGAACCCGAATTGATCCAGGCGAGAAGTCACAGAGGGGTACGTCCTGGAGGAAACGACCATCGCTGTTTTCTCGCCGAAGGGCCCTTATCCTAACCCGGACGCCACCACGTTTTCCACGCCGTCTCCGCCACCTCGGGTTTTGCCCCACTCGTTCTGGGACAGCCAGCAGGAACGCCGGGACCTTGTCAAACAGGTGACCAAACGTCAGCCTGAAATTAGCATCATGTAGCCCGAGTCCTGAGCTCAACCGAAGATCAAGAAGGGTGAGTCGATCATATTTAAAAATGGGATTAGAAAAAGCTAAAAAGTGACTCAAAAACAATGCTAAAACCACAATTACAAGCAACAGATGGCCTGCCGCAACAGTCGGCGCCATCTTTGAAACAGGAAACTAATCTGTTCGTCCGCTCGCACGGCCAAAAGTTCCATGGTCTCCACGTCCGTCCAGCCGGCTTTCCTTCCGGCCGGCACTCGACGCGCAGTATACGTGACTAACGAGACCACCCTCTTTTGCAGGGTGGCCTCCCACAGTCGCGCCAAAGGGATTAGCGGGGCTGACACGCGTTTAGCCGTCAGAGGTGAGGGACTGATGCGGCAATATTACTACCAAGCGAGGCGGAATGAATGCCGCAAAATGCGCGCAACGCCATGCCGGCATGGCGCGTTTAGACATACTATTGCGGTAATATTACGCCGATTTGCCGGTGTGGTGTGTCCTATAAAAGCACCTACTGAAACTTTTTTTCAGCCGTTGCGCTAAATGACTAGGGGGTGGGGGAGGGTTTGAATTTCTGTCTGTAACCCTAACTGACAACGCATCCAGCG